GAGACGATCAGGGCCCACAGGGCGGGCCGAGAGAAAAGGGGGGGGAGCAGAACTGAGGGAGATCAAGGGCCGCGGCGCTGGCCAGGAGGAGGGGGGGGTGGGAAGCAGACCTGGCCGGGGGTGTGTGTGCAGCGCCCCCAGCAGGCGCTCCCTTTAGTTGCGAGCAGAAGGTGGGTGGGCGGAGTGGCTGGGAGTCCCAGTCCCCACCCCACCCGGCTTTTGCATGCGACCACAGGCTCCCAGCGCCAATCGTGCCCCGCCTCCCAGTTGCTTCCCTGCCCCCGCCAGGCTTTGGTCCGGCACCCAGCTGGAAATTCAGAAAATACCGGACACTGCACATTGTGCATGTCCGGTATTTTCTGAATTTTTCTACCGGACAGACGGTGCAAATACCGGACTGTCCAGTAGAGAACCGGACACCTGGAAACCCTACCTCCTACCCTAGGTCACATCCCAAAACTTGCACCCCAGTTCCCTGTCCTAGGTCACAACGGCCTCCTTCACCCAAGCTCCCTTCCCAGACTTCAGTCTCCCAAGCTCCCCTCTGTACCCAACCTCCATCCCAGACCCCACATCTCACCCATTAATACCATGAGTGCGGCCCTTGACCACTTTCCAAAATCTTAGAGTGGCCCCCTATCAAAATTATTGCCCACCTCTGGAATGGAGGTTAGGCCAACAACCACTTAGCAGAGGGGAAATAACACTCTGTGTTCAAATAAAGTGGAGTGTGCTGACATGATTGGTGTCCCATTCCAACCCCACCCCCCAACCCATCTTACAGCTGTAGCTGAGCAGTCCTGGCTGGCCCCATCCCAGATGCTCCTGTTTTGCTTCCCCTAGCCATAGTCTGTATGAGAGGAACTCAGATTAGCCCCTTGCCTCACCCCTGAAGGAACCGGCTCTGCTCCTCCCCTATAGTTTAGGGATATAAAATCCCAATTAAAATGTTAAGAGGTTAAAGCAGTGTTCCTTAAACTGCTTTATAGGGGACAGTGATCACGAAGTAATAGAGTTCATGATCTTAAGGAAAGGTAGAAGGGAGACCAGCACAATTGAGGTAATGGATTTCAGGAAGGCAGATTTTGATAAGCTCAGAGAACTTGTAGGTAAGGTCCCATGGGAAGCAAGACTGAAGGGAAAAACAACTGAGGAGAGTTGGAAGTATTTCAAAGGGACGTTGTTAAGGGCCCAAAAGCAAACAATTCCGCTGTGTAGGAAAGATAGAAAATATGGCAAAAGACCAGCTTGGCTTAACAAGGAGATCTTGCACAATCTCAAAATAAAAAAGGAGTCATATAAAAAATGGAAACTAGGACAAATAACAAAGGATGAATATAGGCAAGCAACACAGGAATGCAGGGGCAAGATTAGAAAGGCAAAGGCACAAAATGAGATCAAACTAGCTACAGGCATAAAGGGAAACAAGAAGACCTTTTATAAATACATTAAAAGCAAGAGGAAGACCAAGGACAGGGTAGGCCCACTGCTTAGTGAGGAGGGAGAAGCAGTAACAGGAAACTTGGAAATGGCGGAGATGCTCAATGACTTCTTTGTTTCGGTCTTCACCGAGAAGTCTGGAGGTGTGCCTAACGTAGTGAATACAAGCAGAGAGAGGGTAAGTTTAGAAGATAGGATACACAAAGAACAAGTTAAAAATCACTTAGGAAAGTTAGATGTCAGCAAGTCACCAGGTCCTGATGAAATGCATCCCAGGATACTCAAGGAGCTGATAGAGGAGGTATCTGAGCCTTTAGCTATGATCTTTGAAAAATCATGGCAGACAGGGGAGATTCCAGAAGACTGGAAAAGGGCAAATATTGTGCCCATCTATAAAAAGGGGAATAAGAACAACCCAGGAAACTACAGACCGGTCAGTTTAACGTCTGTCCCAGGGAAGATAATGGAGCAGGTAATTAAGGAAATCATATGCAAACACTTGGAAGGTAATAAAGTGATAGGGAATAGCCAGCATGGGTTTGTGAAGAACAAGTCATGCCAAACTAATCTGATAGCTTTCTTTGATAAGATAACGAGCCTTGTGGATAAGGGAGAAGCGGTGGATGTCATATACCTAGACTTTAGTAAGGCATTTGATACGGTCTCGCATGATATTCTTATTGATAAACTAGGCAAATATAACTTAGATAGGGCCACGATAAGGTGGGTGCATAATTGGCTGGATAACCGTAGTCAGAGAGTTGTTGTTAACGGTTCTAAATCCTGCTGGAAAGGGATAACAAGTGGAGTTCCGCAAGGGTCTGTTTTGGGACCCGTACTGTTCAATATCTTCATCAATGATGTAGATATTGGGATAGAGAGTACGCTTATTAAGTTTGCAGATGATACCAAACTGGGTGGGGTTGCAACTTCTTTGGAGGATAGGGACATAATTCAAAATGACCTTAGCAAGTTAGAGAAATGGTCAGAGGTAAACAGGATGAGGTTTAATAAAGAGAAATGCAAAGTGCTCCACTTAGGAAGGAACAATCAGTTCCATACATACAAGATGGGAAGCGACTGTCTAGGAAGGAGCATGGCAGAAAGGGATCTAGGGGTCATAGTGGACCACAAGTTGAATATGAGTCAACAGTGTGATGCTGTTGCAAAAAAAGCAAATATGATTCTAGGTTGTATCAACAGGTGTGTTGTAAGCAAAACTCGTGAAGTCATTCTGCCGCTCTACTCTGCACTAGTTAGGCCTCAGCTGGAGTACTGTGTCCAGTTCTGGGCGCCACATTTCAAGAAAGATGTGGAGAAATTGGAAAGGGTACAGAGAAGAGCAACAAGAATGATTAAAGGTTTAGAGAACATGACCTATGAAGCCAGGCTTCATGAACTGGGCTTGTTTAGTTTGGAAAAAAGAAGATTAAGGGGGGACATGATAGCGGTTTTCAAATATCTAAAAGGGTGTCACAAGGAGGAAGGAGAAAATTTGTTCCTCTTGGTTTCTGAGGACAGGACAAGGAGTAATGGGCTTAAAGTGCAGCAGGGGAGGTTTAGATTGGACATTAGGAAAAAATTCCTAACTGTCAGGGTGGTCAAATATTGGAATAAATTGCCAAGGGAGGTGGTGGAATCTCCCTCTCTGGAGATATTTAAGAACAGGTTAGATAGACATCTGTCAGGGATGGTGTAGACAGAGCTTGATCCTGCCTTGAGGGCGGGGGGCTGGACTCGATGACCTCTTGAGGTCCCTTCCAGTCCTATTATTCTATGATTCTATGAAAAGCATGAGTGGCGTGGAGAGGGTGCATAAAGAAAAGTTCTTCGTTAGTTCCCATAATAGAAGGACTAGAGGACACCAAATGAAATGAATGGGTAGCAGGCTTCAAACTAACAACAGAAAGTTCTTCTTCACAAAGCAAATAGTCAGGGCCGCCGTGAGGCCGGCGTGCCCTGCGCTCTCCGCCCGCCTCCGACCCCGCGGGCCCTCCGCCTTGGGGCTGAGAGTGCGGGGACGGCCCTCATGCATGTTCACTTCTTCAAATCTGGCCCTCTTTGAAAAAAGTTTGGACACCCCTGGTGTAGACGGAGCTTGGTCCTGCTTGAGGGCGGGGGGCTGGACTCGATGACCTCTCGAGGTCCCTTCCAGTCCTATGATTCTATGATTCTATGAAACTGTGTTCCATGGCACACCGGTGTGCCACGAGGCAGTCAGAGGTGTGCCGTGAAGAACAGAATTCAAAATGGCTGCCCTTAAAGGGGCAGGCAACCTTCCCCTGCCCCCAATAACTTCCCCTTGACCCTTTTTTTTTTTTCCTCAGATGCATGCATCTGACGAAGTGGGTCTTTATAAAAAAAAAACAAACCTATTGTTTGGTGTTCCTCCGTCTTAAAAAGTTTAAGAAACGGTGGGTTGAAGTGTATGTTTAACTGGTTAACCAGCCCACTGCATTTCACTGCAGGCAGAGGGCCATGGGACAGCCCCTCATTTGCAACATGGCACAGTGGGCTGAGGAGTAGTTTGCTCTGGCCATGGGCTGCTCCCACTGTGGGCTACTCTGGCCAGGCCAGGCCAAGTCCACCACACTGCATCATTAGCAGAGGACTGCTCCAACCCAGCTGGGCCTGCCACACCGCAGGCTGCTCCGGCCAGTGCCCACCTCACTACGCCGCAGGTAGGGGTTGCTCCAGTCGGGCCAGGTGCTAGTTAACCCAAGTAAGCATGCTGGTAAAGCAAATGCTTACCAAGTAACCAGTTAACCCTTTACATACCTATTGTTACTCTGAACTCCAGCAAAGCTCATGCCAGTCCAAAAATGGGCTGCTCCTAATCATAAGGTCCTATTAAGAACAGGGGCTCATGGAAATGCTGCTTTTTGAAATGCAGTTAAAAGTGATTCAGAACAAGCCTCTGGAGCCATGGACAGTATATACAGATATTTCAATACTAGCCTCTGAGACACAGAACATCAATGCCAATGGGGGAGGAGAAAAAAGACTTGTGATCAGACCGGTCCTCCTTGTATTGTGCCTGTCATACTACATATCAAGCAGCAGAGCCTCCTGCAACAGATCTGCCCACTACTGGACGACAGAGAGATAGTCATGTTTTCTCTTGAGCATCCACACAGCACCCAAAATATACAGCTCTGGAACAGGCTATCAAATAAGAAACCCTCTAAGACGGGGTGGGCAATAATTTTTGACCGGTGGGCCACTTCAAAAATTTTTGAAGTGGCCCCGGGCCACCCCAGAAGTAGTAGGCCCAGGACACTTCTGTGCTTCCCCGCCCATAGACCCTGATTGGTCTGGGGGTGGGGGAGCATGCAAAATCTTTGCCCCCCCTCCCCCCAGAGAGAACTACCAGCTGTTCTGAACAGCTGGCGGTTTCCTCTAGGTACCCACAGCCCTGGCGGTGGGAGGAGACTTCGCATGCTCCCTCCACCCCCAAGCCCTGATTGGCCTGTGGGTGGGGGGAACATGAAGTCTCCTCCCACCTGCTCCCCTCACAGGGCAGGAGGAAACTTTGTGCACTCCCACCCCCAAGCCAATCAGGTCCTGGGAGTGGAGGAAGCACATGAAGTCTCTTCCTGCCCCGCCAGAAGTGTGCAATGCTTAAAAGCACCACACACTCCTTGCAGGCGCTGATTGGCCTGGGGGCAGAAGGAATGGCAGGGCCTCTGCAGGCTGCATCAACTCACTTGGCGGGCTGGATTCAGCCCGTGGAGGCCCTTTTGCTCACCCCTGCTCTAAGAGTTGAGAGATTCCACCTGACTCCTCTTGATGTGCCAGCAATCCATTCTCTGACTATCTCCAAAAACATCTGAAGTCACTACCTGTGTGTATTATTTAACTGCATTACCGCAAGAGTCAGAGGCATTATGGCTGGAAGGGACTCTCGGAGTGTTCATGTTTTAATATCTGTAACACCAACAGATCTGGGTCTGATAGGCTACGTCTACACTAGCCCCTTTTCCGAAAGGGGCATGCTAATTTTACAGGTCGTAATAGGGAAATCCGCGGGGAATTTAAATATCCCCCACGGCGGATTTAAATAAAGTAGGAATAAGAGATCCTCCGGAAAAGGGCTTTTTTCCGGAGGATCGGGGCCAGTGTAGACGCTCTTTTCCGGCTTTTCTAAAAGCCGGAAAAAAGTGGCGGACATCTTTATTTAAATGCCACGGGGGATATTTAAATCCCCCATGGATTTCCCTATTACGACCTGTAAAATTAGCATGCCCCTTTCGGAAAAGGGGCCAGTGTAGACATAGCCTTAGTGAACAGGACTGAAACTCAGAGCTTGGAGATAAAGGCCACATGAGCCAAAAGTCAAACAGTTCTTAGCTAAGGTTGTAGATTTCCTCTCCCTCTCTGTGCCTCTAGATTACAAAGCTATATGCAAATTATGAATCTCAAAATTCATTTTTCTATGTTGTATTTTTAACAGGACTGTAGACAAAGCTGTCATGGCAAGTTAAGCTAATTGGAACTGTGAAGTGCAGGGCAGAATGTACCACTTCATTACTATGCACCATATTTCCTGATATTCTTCTTTTGGTCATTTAGCAATGGACTGACTAAGGATGTTAGAATTATTGCTGTCAGTCAAGTGGGTTAGTGAGCATGCTCTACAGTCAGGTGGAAAATCCAGATTCCATTTCTCATCTTTGTCTCCTGTAGTCCTTAGGACCTGGAAGAATCACTGATCTGGCAATGGAGGGTTTACAGCCTAATGTGTTATGCATGATGGTGAAAGGGAAGATACCTGGACAAGCACGAGGGTTTGCTGTTGAATATTTGAGGTGGATAGAAGGAAGCGTTAGAACTGATACCTGGAAATTCCCTGGTGAAGCTAGAAACAACCCCAATGCCCAAATTAGTTTGCATCCCTATACTCCAGGCTGCAGAGACGTGGCAGAATCAGACACTGCTTACTGTGCATTTGTATTTTATACAGTCATCCCAAAAGCCACTAGCTGAGAACTTCTTCCTGATCACCACAGTGAGGCCATGGATTAGACACTGGCCAACTCCCATGATGTTACCTGGAAGACAAAGAGGAACAGGATATCATTGCTGGCTCTGGCTTCAATCACTTTGGATAAATTCATTTACAACTATATCTGATGGTCCTCAACAGCACCTTAAGTGATCTGGACACTAGGACTGGCAACAATACTGTGAACCTTTGCTTTTGGAGAAGGAAGCATACCTGCTGAGTGATAGAGTGGCAAGCAGTTGTAGAGGATGTCCTCAGGGCGCATTCTGTAGGCATAGTACCCAAAGGCAGCTATGCGGTAGTATCTGTAAGAACACAAAGGAGGTTGAGGAATGGAAATGAACACAGCTCTGAGTATCTCTAAATTAACAGGCTTCCTTTCAGCTTCTTACCTGCTGTGCACCACAATGGCAGCCTTTTGCATTCCTGTCGTGCCAGATGTGTAGATATAGAAAAGCCGATCTGGAGAACAGAAACACGAGCCAGACAGATGATAGTTTCGCTTCAGCTGTTTAATCAGTTTTCTGTGCAGTTAGGTTTTAGCTTTTCTCCTATTGGGGATCTGCTGATTGCATACGTGACTGCTTTGATCTAGTGCTGGCACCGGTGAAGGTAAACTGGCAAGGTTGGCACAGAACCTGTGTAGATATAGAAAAGCCGATCTGGAGAACAGAAACACGAGCCAGACAGATGATAGTTTCGCTTCAGCTGTTTAATCAGTTTTCTGTGCAGTTAGGTTTTAGCTTTTCTCCTATTGGGGATCTGCTGATTGCATACGTGACTGCTTTGATCTAGTGCTGGCACCGGTGAAGGTAAACTGGCAAGGTTGGCACAGAACCCACATTACAGCCCTAACAAAAAGAATGTGTGAAGCTAGTGAACATCACCCACAAAAGCAGAGGGTGAAAGGCAGCCTCAGTTCCAAGCTTTGAAGAATGCCAGGCCCGAAGGGCATGTATTTTAATTCTCCCTTCTCCAAATTGCCTTGAAATTAGGCAACTGCCTGATTCAGGCACTTCTGGGGAGATGAATCTAGAGAAAAGGTCGTGTCAACCAGGGTGCCTGAGGCAAGCTGCACAGTGAGGAAGAAGAGAACAATACAAAGCAAGATTTCTGAGATTCAGTAAAGAATCCAGCAAAGAAGAAGTTACTCACCCTGTGTAGTAACGATGGTTCTTCGAGATGTGTCCCCGTGGGTGCTCCACTCCAGGTGTCGGGTCCCGTCCCGGCACCGCTGGTCGGAAAGTTTTCCATAGCCGTAGCCGGGCCGGACCGCGCATGCGCGAGCGCAGCGCGCGGCGTTCGCGCCTTTGCAACGGTCCGGCCCCCGCTTGTCAGTTCCTCTCACCGCTCGGTCCCTGGAAGACAAAACAAAGAGACCCGGAGCGGGGAGGAGGGTGGGGCGTGGAGCACCCACGGGGACACATCTCGAAGAACCATCGTTACTACACAGGGTGAGTAACTTCTTCTTCTTCTTCGAGTGGTCCCCGTGGGTGCTCCACTCCAGGTGAGTACAAAGCAGTAACCCAGAATGCGCTCCGGGTCAATTATTTTCTACTGTGGACAGGACTGCAGAGGCTACCGCGGGATCTGAAGCCCACCTCTTCGTTATGGCCTAATGACG